CTACCTACCTACCTATCTATCTATCTATCTATCTATCTATCTATCTATCTATCTATCTATCTATCTATCATCTATCATCTATCTATCATCTATATGCTCTTTAACAATGTTTACAGTTACGCTGCTTTGGAACTGCTTTCGAGCCTGTCTCTCAGATCAGAACTTCAGCGAGCCCCTATACATATCTCCAGAGTTAGATGTTATGTACTGACATACCATCAAAATGGGTAACTTCATGAAAAACTGCCACCACAGTCACTTTTTTTCAAACCTCTGATTCCAGAAGCTTATTACTACATGCAGAGCTGAGGTGATCTCAGCAGGGTAATATTTAAATAGATTGTTGAAATGGAAGAATGGCCTATTATATTTTTGACTAAGTGGACATCTGATTTTGCTACTTTTTTTCTTAATGTTTTATGGCTTTCAAAACTGTGTTTTGTCTGACATTTTCAAAAACCCAATGATTTAAATGACTGGCTTTCACATTTAATGCTAGGTATCAGGTCCCCTCTGTCCCTGCCACCACCCAACAGGCACTATGTGTCCTGGCTTCCTGGACACCAACTGTTGCTACTGCATAGTATCAGACCCTGATGGGTATTCTCCTGACACCCGACTTACACTGCTAAGGATCGGGTCTGCAAGACACCATTCACCACACTGCTGCTATGGGATCAGCTATTGCTGGATTGGATGCCATGTCTGCCACACAAACATTGCTAGATAATAGGCCTTGTCTGACTCCCTAACCCCAGGCAACATCCCACATACATTGCTAGGTATCAGATCCTGTTTGGCACCCTGCTGTAGAGGGAAAAAAAGGTCTTATGCACACAGATAAGCACTGGAGAAGCCAGTTAAACATGCAGCTTATCTTTTCAGTGGAATGAGGTACACAGCTGCTCTTCCTGGAATGATAGGGATGATGTAGTTTTACAACCTGGTGATCCTTTGCTGTCTGAGGAGACAAGTTCTGTCCATATCTCCCTGAAGTTATGTTCTTTACTTAGCCAAGACCTTTCCCCCTAAATCCTGCGCATTGCTTTTAGATCGTAAACCCACTCTTATGAGTGATGTCACTTGTGCTACAACAGCCCAAGTGACTTCTCTGTTATCTTAGGGCCAGGCCAATCCTGACACCCATAGGTGTTATGTTTACCTCAGTCAAGCTCCCTAGACCCTAGATCATGGGCACTGTCTCTGAGTCAATAGTACCCATTCTTGTGAAAGAAGCCATATGTACTCCGTAAAGAATCTCAATGTAAACATGTCTTAAATTGTTGTGCATTTGGGACTGAGTTAATTGTTACCTGAATACTTTTTTCCAAAATTGTGCTGTGCTCCAATACGGCTAAAGTAAAATGATCTAGGACAGACTCTGGAAGTCTTGGTCCAGTGTTGGTTACAATAAAATTGGGCTGAACCAAGTTTCTCTCTTGTCTCTTTGTGGATCCTTTTTCCCTGCCTGCTGTGAAGCCTGCAGGGGAATCGTCACGCCTTGCTAGGTGGCAACACTCAGCTTGGAAACCCTGTCTGCCCTACTTCCCTGCACTGAGAAAACTCTGAATAAAGAAATGGAGCCAAAAGCCCAGTTCCACATTTCTGGCACCCAATGCAACCCGCCTTTCTGACATGGCTAGCCACCCAAGAACTCCCGCAAGGACACAGTCCTAGCTCCTGGCTAAGAGATCATCACCCCTCACCTAAGGTCTGTAAAACCTCCCTGCCTTAGCCTAGGCATGTGACATCCTTGGCCCCATTCTAGGGAGTGATGCCAAATAAACCTGCATGTATCTGCTTTTAATCTGGTCTGATCTGGCCTTTTGCATTGGTGGAAACCTATCAGTCTCTTCTGAGTTTCATGGCAATCTCTTAACAGTAACCACTTGCAAATTCAAAATCAAAAAGCAGATCACATACTTCCAACATAGAATGGCACAAAATATACATTGCCGTTCCAAATGAGAGGAAATACTGGACCAAAACAAGACCAAGAACAAATTGGGCCAATTCCAAATCTTATATCTCTATGTGTGATGTCAAAGCACTCTTCAGACTCCAACTTTGTCCAGCTTTGTTGACTGCAACACACTTTTCTCTCTCTTTCCCTCTCCCCCCTCCATCTCCCCCCCCCCATATCCCATACCCTGTCTTCAGCTCTCCTTGATCCCACAGCTGTGGCACTTCCAGTGTCCTGGGGTCTCCAACTCAATGCAGGATTCACCTTCACAGCTTCATATAATGGCCTCTCCTGGCCTCCATGAAGCTAGTCCTCTGCCACACACCTGGCCTCAAAAGTGTTCCATAACTGTGGATGAAGATTCTATAACCCATTTCCTGTATCCTTCTTGACTCTAAATCCAGACCTTCATGGCCCAAACTGTCTCCCCTTCTGCTGAAACCTGGTCCCCCCCTCATTTGAATAAGTTTTGACTTGATGTTTTCTAAACTGAGAAAATTCCCCAGGCTTAACTTTTTCATAGGTTGCAAGATTAGGTGAGTGGGGTCTTGCCTTAAGGCTATCACTCCCTTTTTCCTAATATGAGGCTTTTCTTTAAACTTCTCATCTCCTTGAGATTCATGGCAATCTCTTAACAGTAACCCCTTGCAAAATCAAAACCCAAAAGCAGATCACATATTTTCAACATACAATGGCACAGAATATACACTACTTGGCCTCAACATTGCATTTCCTGGTGCTTCTTTTCTCCTCAAACTCTAGATTTTGTGTTTCTCTTTACCCTCATTGCTCATTTTCATTGAGGATCTGCATAAGAGTGATCATCAGTAACCACGTGACATAGTCAATTCTGAAAATCTCCTCTGCCAGTCCTTGACCTAGTCCAAAACTCTTCAAGTTAGCCTCCGGCAGGTATTTTGGATAAGTACATAAAGCAGCCACAGTCTTTGCTGAAATACCACAATGATCTCTAGTCCAGTTGATAATATTCTTCCCCTCTGAAAACTCCTGAGCTTGGCCTCCACAGTCCAGATCATCCTTAGCACTACTGTTTTCCATGTTCCTGCCAGGATGGCCCACTAAGCCCCATTTACAGCCATCAACTGCTTTTCTAGTCCAAAGTCCCAAAGTCTTCCATATTCTTCCAAACAACAGCATGGTCAGGTCTGTCAGAGCTCCTAGTAGCAATTTCTGTCTTAGTTAATGTTCTATTGCTGTGAAAAGAGACCATGACCAAGGAAACTCTTAAAAAAGAAAGTCGTTAATTGGGGCCTTGCTTACAGTTTTAGAGGATTAGCCATGATCATCATAGTAGGAAGCAGACAGGCACAGTGCTGGAGCAGTAGCTGAGATCTTATATCCTGATCCACTGGCAGGCAAGCAAAGAGAGACTGGAACTAGCATGGGCTTCTGAAACCTCGAAGCCCATCCCCAGTGACACACCTCCTCTAACAAGGCCATGCCTCCTAATCCTTATCAAACAGTTCCACTCCCTGGTGACTAAGCATTCAAATATAGAAACCTATAGTTGACATTCTTATTCAAACCACCACAGAGGTATAGGGTCAATTATGGGGTTGGGGCAGCCTGACTTCCCCTAGGCCATTTTAGGGTGGGGTGTCCAGTTGGACCTTATACCTAGCAGTGTATGTAATGTGGTGAGTATGCCGGCATGTCCAGTGCGATCTGGATCTACCAATGTGTGTGACACATTGGAAGTGTGTGGAGTGTCCCATGGTGTATGCCATGTGGCAGTGAGGGGTGGGGTGAGTGTCTAGTTGAGTCTGATACTTAACACTTTATGTGGGGAGAAGGAATCTTCTAGAACCTGACACTCAGCAGTGTAAAAGTGGTGACAGTGCTTGGGGGAGGGGGGCTGGTGTCTAGCAGGGCCTGACAACTAACACTGTATGTGGTGTGGCAGATCAGGCCCATTAAGGTTATAGCCTAGTGGTCTATGCGGGTATACTGCTAAGAGCAAGATGTCCAGCAGGATGACCTGATAATTAATAGCGTCTTTTGGGTCAGCCCTAGGGGTGGGATATCCAGGAGGGTATGATTTCCTGGTACTTTATGTTTGGGGGGGGGGCGGGGAGAAATAGTCCAGCAGGGCCTAACAGCTAACAGTGTATGTGGGGCATCAGTGGGGTGTCTAACAAGGCCTCCTCTCTGGAAGTATATGCATGGGGTTGGGAGTGGCAGCAGGGCCTGATGCTAAGCACTCTATGTGAGGTGGGGTGGGGGTAGTGTACAGCAGTGCATGCACCTAGCAGTGTATGTGTGGGGACAGGTGGGTATCTGATTGCTAGGAGTGTATGTAAGGTGGTATGGTGTGCCTAATAACCAACGGATACCTTGAACTGGATGCTGGGGAGAGGGGTGGTGCCTGATGTCTAGCAGTGACAGCTGTTGGTGCCTGGGGGCAAGGTGTCCACGAGTGCCTCCCTCACTGCAGTATGTATAGAGTGATGTGGCAAGGAGTGTCCAGGAGGGCCTGATACCAGATGCCCTAAAAGGAGGGCATCTGTGCCATAAATACAGGACCAGTGGGGATCCTGAGGCATGCTCCCCATCCCAACCTCCCCATACTACTAGGAAGACGCTCTGGTGGACACCCTACTGTCATTACCTCATTTACACTGCTAGACATTAGGCCCTGCTACCTCCCCACTCCTTGTCTTCATAGGTATCATTTCTGCCGGGCACAGCCCCCAGACCCACCATGTATACACTGTTACATGTCAGGCCCTGCTAGACACCACCCACTCGACTGGGATCAGGTTAAGCTGGAAAACAGCCCTTCCCCTTCATAAAGGACCTGGGTGTCGGGACATGCTAAACAACCAGCCCAGATGGTCCAGCATACAATGGTATTTGCCAAGCTCTACCAAACAGTCCTGTCCCCTCCACCTATGAACTTCTTAGTATCATGTCCTGTGGCTCCGTATCGCACTTCACTAGGTATCAGGCTTGACAGAAATTCACCACTCACTGCTGAACCTGCCAGTGCACGCCAGGTATCAAGTCCTCTGGAGACTCGGTTCTCTGCCGCACAGCCCCAAATACACTGCTTGATTTTAGGTCTCGCGTGACACCCCTTACAGTCCTCTATACACTGCTATGTATCAGGTCCTACTGAACTCTCTAATACACTCCACATATGGTACAAGGCATCAGGGCCTGTTGAACAGATCCCATATCCCACTGTCACTCAAAATACACTATTATTTTTAGGCTATGATGGACTCTCCCTGCAGCTCCCCATCCAAATCTGTAGGCATTAGGTCTTGCTAGACACTCCTCAGGCTACCATCCCATACACAGTGAGGTATCAGACATTACTAGACAACTTGACAACCCCACCACTGCCCCATATATATCGTTAGGTACGAGGCTGGACAACCCCGTGGCTGCCTCGTCTACTCTACATAGAAAGAGACCATGCCAGACACTCATCCTTTCTCCACTCCGAATACAATATAAGGGGTCAGGGATGCTATCCCTCCCTGCCTCTGACTCACACCCACTACTAGCTATCAGGCATTGCTGGACTTCTCCCCCCTACCCCACCCCCATGGGCTAGGTATCAAGCACTGAGGAACACCCGCCGTCCCAGCCACCAACGTCCCATATGTACTACTGAGTATGGGGCCCTGCTGGACACTCCACACCACCCTGGATACACTGCTATGTATCTGAAACTACGCAGGGTCGAATACCCAGGAACGTATTTGAGGAAGTGGGTGGGTGATCGGCAGTCAGCCAGCCAGCAGCACTGTTAGTGAGGTGGGCAGAGGGCTGTGTTCAGTTATGCATGATACTTACTGACGTACACTGGTGGTCAGAGGGCGTCCATCAGCTGAACTAGCGGTGTATGTGGGTCACAGACATAGAGTGGCATGTCCCAAAGGTCAGGACAACTAGCAGTGTATGTCAGTTGGCAACAAAGGTGGAGGGTTGCCCAGTTGGGCCTGATACCCAGTGACAAGGTGCAGTGGCCTGGGAGGTGGTATCCAGGAAGGCCTGATACCTACAAGTCTTTAAGGAGCACCAGCAGGTGTCCCTCATGGTCTGAAAACTAGCAAAAATGTGGGTTTTTTGTGGACACCTAGTCCCACTCCACCTGCCAATACAGAGTGCATGCATCAGATAAAGCTGGTCCCACCTCTGTGTCCCAAATAATTTTCTAGGTACCAGGCAACGTTATACACCCACACCCCTCATAGCCACACAACCTATACTATTGTTTTTTGGAGGCAGCTGGACAACTTCCTAATACCCCACATATATTGGAAAGTGCAGGCCATGGAGTACACCTCTCACATACACATTGAAAGGCATCAGGCCATGCTATATAGCCCTTTCCCACACCACTTCTGCCTTGAGTTCACTAGAAAGTATCAGTCCCTGCAGCATAGACATCTACACTAATTGCCAGGTATCAGGCCATGCTTCATACCTCTTCCCAAGCCATTTCTACCCCTCATATATTCATAGGTACCATCTAGACCTACCAGATACACCCCTGTAGCCTTCCATATACTGCTACATATACAGTCCTACCGGACAAGTTATGCTACACACACACACACACACACACACAAACAAACACACACACATATACACACACAAACACACACACACAAACACACACACACACACACACACACACACACACACACACACACACACACACACACACGTATTGTGCAAGGTAGCAAGGTATCCGGCTCTATTGGATGTATCCCAAACCACTTTGTTTCTACCCAAAATACATCGTGGTTTTTTGAACACACCCTGCCACTCCCCAGTCTAAACTTTCAGGTACTATGCCCTGCTGGACACCCCTCTGCTACTCCCCAACCAGCACCTGAAATCTACTTCTGGGGTCAGACACAGCTGGAAACCACCTGCTCTAACATTACTCAGCATCCAGTCCTTCCCTACCCTGCCACACACAAAGTGCAAGGTGTCAGCCCCTGCTGGACGTGTGGACACAGCCTCCTCTACTGCCAAAGTCTATACAGTGCTGTGTATCACTCCAACCTCCATCCATATAATGACACCCACCCCCACCCATGCCGCCACTCAGCCCATTCTTCAACTTATCAGGCCCTGTTGGACTTACCCTGGAACAAGCACAGGTAAACATGTAGATGAAACCCTTATGGACACCCCTCCCATGCTTATAATGCTGGGTACCAGTCCCAACGAGACATCTCTGACCCCAGCTCTACCTCCTAAGCTGTTGTTAGGTGTTAGGCCCGTTCTGAGATCCAACCCTGCTTCCTCTTGACCTATACTGCTAGGCAGAAGCAGGGAGTTGTCCAGCCTGGCTTGAAAGTAATAGCGTATTTTCTGTGACCATGAGGTTGGTCTGTGTCCAGCAGGGCCTTTTTTTTTTTTTTAATGTGGGCAGGGAGAGATGGTCCAATAGTACCTGAAACACAAGAACGTATACAGGACTTCATGATTGGTATCCCACAGAACATGACACAGGAGAGCATCAGAGGCTTGGGCGTGGTTGTCAAGCGTAGCTTTACCACCTAGCAGTGCATTTGGGAATTTGGGACAGGTGGGGGTATCAAGAAGAGGCAGTTAACTAACTACCAATGCTATTTGGTTGGGGAGGACATAGACAACAGGTCCCGAATCCAAATACTGTGTGTGGGGTGGGGTCAAGACATGGGGCAGCAGCACCTGAAACCCAGCGGTGTGGTGGGTTTTAGCTCTTGGGGTGGGGTATAAGAAAGGCATGATATGTGGGTTCCCAAGCCAGCTGAGGGGCAGTAGAGCATTGCCCAGATCCTGGACATCTCTCTGAGAGCACAGCAGGGGTGGGCCTGCTCCTTCCCCAACAGGCTTGGGCCTACTCAATTCCATAGAGACAAAGGCCGCATCATGACAATTAGTCAAGCTTCTGTTCCACCCAAGGGAACTGGCTTCTCACAAACCATGTGACCAGCAGTCTGCTAATCTGACTGGTACACGTGGAGAGCCCCTACCCCGGACTGCAGCACTTCCTCCCTCACCCTCTTTCCTCCCTTCCCCCCTGACTCAAGCTATATAAGCTAACCTCGCTATTTCAAAATAGTCAAAACAGTCTCCTGGGTCACTCATATCCCCTATACTCACTGCTGCCTGAGATGCCTCCTCCAAATCCTGGGACCGCCGATCGGGCTCAGGGGACCCACAGTGATACCTGACTCTATGTGGTATGTAGGGTAGCAGTATCAAACAGAACCCGACACCTCACAATGCATGCATGCCAGCAGCAGAGTGTATACCTAGGAGCAGTATGGTGGGTAGCTGGGGGCGACAGCAGGCACTGATTCTTAGCAGTGTACATGGGGCAGCAGGCAGGTTCCTGTGGGGCATGGGCATGGCCAGCAAGGCCTGGTGCCTAGCAGTATTTATGAGCAGCTGCAGGATGGTTTGTTCAGTAGAAGTTAATACTTAGTATGCGGAGCAGTGATGAAGGTGTGTGCTGCTCTCGCCTTTCCGGTCTTAAAGATAGCAAGGTAGAGACTCATCAGCTCTAAGTTCCACCTCTTCTCCATTAGCCCTAGGGGTTTGGCAGCCCAGGGCAGGGCTGCAGACAGTCAGAGCTGGAAATGACCACCCAGTGTGGACTTTGGAAGGACTACGCTCCTAGCCGAACCCCTCACGCAGCAGGATGGAGGATGGAGAGGCATCCATGGACAAGGAAGGGAGAAGGGCAGAGCACATTTGCCTGAACCAATTCCTGTGCTGTAATAATAACAAAAAATCCAGATGGCTTAGAAGAGGCATTTGTTGTCTCCAAGCTCTGAGGTCCTGGGGTGTGGCAGGGCCAGGCTCCCTCTAGTGGCCTAGTGGGGATCTGCTCCAGCCAACCTCCAGTTCTGTTTTCCAGCAGAGCTCCAGTGTCCACAGGTCATCTTCCCTGGGTGACTCTGTGTCTCAGGCTTCCTTGTTGTTTTGTCTCTAGGTCCTGCCAAGTCCCGGCAGTCCCGCAGCCCACTTATAAAATAAGCACACAGACGCTTATATTATTTAAACTGTTTGGCCTAATGGCTCAGGCTTCTTGCTAGCTGTTCTTATATCTTAAATTAACCCATTTCTATTATTAGTCTATAAGTTGCCACGTGGCTCGTGGCTTACCAGTACCTTACATCTTGCTTGTCATGGCTGCAGCTGGCAGCGTCTCTCTGCCTCAGCCTTCCACCTCCCAGAATTCTTTTCCCCCTTGTCCCGCCTACCCTATCCTTCCTGCCTGGCTACTGGCCAATCAGAGTTTTATTTATCAATCAATCAATCATCCACAGCACCTTGTCATAAGGCATGAGGCTGTATGGGTTTCTCCTATGACTTTTACAGCTTCCACATCATGTTTTAATTTTATATTTACAGTCAGCCATAACCTTTGTGACAGTGAATTTTCCACATGGATATTGTATTGTTTGTTTTTCCAATTCTTGTTCTGCAGTCTTTTGTGTATGGATCATTTTCTCTGCCTTGGTTTCCCTGGTACCTCTGACAAAATCAGTTGGCTTGATTTAGGTGGGTCTGTTACTGGACTCTGGCCGGCTCCATGTGTCTAGTCTCCATTCCTTCCCCTGAGTACTTTCTGTATCACTGAGGCTTTTGGTAAGTGCTGGAACCAGAAGCGTGGGGTCTGGAGGGGTCACTTCTGGCCTCTGCCGTATCTTCAGGGTTAAGCCCAGTTACTTGCTCCATTTGATGTGTTGGGCATCGGTTTGTCATTCTGCTGAGTCTTCAGATGAAGTTCAAAAGATATGTCACCTTAACAACTGTGCTGCTGAAGAACAGGGGTCTGAGAGCCTATCCCTTTAGATTTCTCTCAGTCATGCCTCAGTGTTCTGAATGCCAATTTATGAAAACTATGTTGGATTTCTACTTCAGTACTACAGTATTTGAATCTGCTGTAAACTGTATCTATGTGATACCAATGAGAGATGGTGCACCTGGATGACCCCAAGTTCCTACCTTCACATTAGCAGTGACCTGGCACAGGGGGTGGGGGTCCATGGTCATTGCCCTTCTCAAGAGATTCAGCCCAGCTGCCTGGCACAGATGAGCATTCATTTCTCAAGGCTCCGCTGAGACACTTTTGCAATCTGCTCAGGCAGGCTTTCTGGAGCATCTGTGAGGACAGAGAGGCATGGGTGACCTCCTGCACTGGGACAATGCAAACAGGGCTCAAGGGGATTGTTTCTCACAGTAAGTTTCCCACTGTCACCTTCTTCCAAGGAGACTTCCCCCTTGGGAACCTCTTCCCAGTGAGACCCTCCTGCCGAACCTCAGAACTGGTGGAAGAAGGCAGAAGGATGCCCCAGTCTTTAGGTGGGCCCCAGAAAGGTAAATCATTTTGTCACTCTCCACTGGGGGTCATGTTCTGAGACTGTGTAGCAAAAATGAACTGGCTTCCAGAGCCTCAGAAAATCATGTGCTCCTCTCCCTAGGAGGCTTCAAAGGCCCTCTCCACATCACTGACACCACAACTGAGCAGTGACATCATCAGGTCAAGGAGCCACAGACTACATGTTATAACTGCATCTATTGTCAGAAATTCCCCCATAGCAAGGGCTGTGTACATGGCAGAGAACGCGGTTTGTGTTGTGTGGGATCCAGGGGTTAAAGGGGGAAATACTGTGCCTGTCTTCTTCCTGTGGGACCTCTGTCCATGGAAACCAGCAGGGAAAGCTCAAGGACTTGTGTCTGCAGGAATGAGCTTGGCCTGGCTGGACCTGCTGCTGGCCAGAAACAGCTCCCCATCAACATGCCTGCACCTGGGCACTCTCTTCCTGGATTCTACCTTACACTTCTCCACCTGAGTTAGGGTAAACACATGGTCAAAAAGGTTCCAGGACACACCCAGCACAGCTGCTGAGCTAATTAGCTGTGAAAGCAAAGCCATGTACTTCTGAAACTCCAAGGGACCTTGATGTTGCCACACCAGACATTATTGCTGGGACCAAAAGGCCTGGCTCAGAACAAAAAGAGTTCTTTTATCCCTACCAGACACCCTGTGTCCCAAAGAGCAAGCTACTGCACATGTCTGAGACTCAGCTTCCTCCCCTGTGAGGTGGACATCAGCAGGCTACTTGGGGATGGTGTATGTAAAGATCCTGGGACACAGTAGCTGCTGGTAACTGCACACACACCCTCCAGCAGCATGGGTAATGTGCAGGCAGGCACTGAGTGGGGTGCTGTGTTTATGGACCTGCTTATCACCTGACTATCTTCTCTCATGTTGAAGACCAAAGACAGCAACATTGTTTCCTGAGCAGCAAGAACATGATCATACCCTCGAAGAGTTACCCAGCTACTTCCATGGTCTCTAGACAAAGCCTCTTTCACCACCTAGTTAGTGATCAAGCTCTTGGTTCTCTGGAGCATCTGTCTAGTGTTCCCTAACAGGGACATAGCTGCCACCTCTCCCCTTACCCAGGACCTGACTTCACTGGAATGCAGCTGCTCCAAGGGCCTAGCTTAGTAGTCATCTGATGACCTGGACCCACTCTGGCCCCATAAGCAAGCTGCTCAGTATCTCTGAGCCTGTTTCACATGCCAGGCTATGTGAGGCTCACCTCATATGCATGGTCCTGACCCAATACAGATGATGTAGCTGGCCAATGACAGAATTACCGATGGCCATGTCAAAGGAGCAGCAGGTAGCAATTACCTTCAAGGAATTGACTCACCAGGAAGCAATGATGGGTGAATCTCTGATAGGCAAGGCCTAGAGAGCTTCTGCCCCAGAACGTCTCTTGCTACTGCTGTGCCTTAACAGGTTTGCCACTGCCATTTTTCTCTGGTGTCTGGCATGGTGTGAAAGGGCCTGGGAAGATCCCCACTGCTCTTAACTCAGTCTTGGAAATATCCCAGTCTACTGGGCATTTTACCTGTGGATTTTTATGAAGATGATTTCCTCCTAAGCTGTACTGTTTAACTGAACAATAATAGTGTTAAATAGGATTTTGATGATTGAGGATCTTTAGTAAGTATAGTAAGGGATTATTATAGAGGTTAGTTTAGTGGAAAAATTAATATGGGTAAAGGTGGGATAACATGTTGCCCCTGCCTGTGATAAAGCAGAGGCTGCAGAGGATAAACAGTGAAACAAGGAAATGCCACACAGCTAGAGTTTCTATTGAGGAGCTGTTTGGACTGTGGCTTAGGTTAATGATTAAGAAAAACAATTGAGTCCCAGAAAGCCCAGCTAGCTTAAATTCTTTCCATCTTAATGTTGGGAGATGTGTTCACAGGTTTCAGCATGCATTACAGCTGAAACAAAGCTTTGAAAATGACTTAAGGTTAGACTAAGATGTTTTTGTTAATAGCTTTGAGGTGAAAAAACCAAGGAAACATTATAAAGAAAGGCACATAGTTGACTGAGGGACTTGTTAAGGTCAGGGAACAAGAACAAAGCATCCGATTATTATTCGCTGACATGCCTTTCTTGCTAGGATGAGTTGGTGGCCAAAGGCGATAATTAATTCCTCATACCCATTTCTGCCCTCAACTTCCTGATTTAAAAAAAAAAAAACTGCTAAGGAGTGGCTATGCACCCTTACTTTAAAGCAGAGCTGACTTTGTTTTTCAGATATAAAAGTTTAGATTTATGATTCTTTTAAGATTCCTTGTAAGATTACCTTTTGAGATAAATAATAAAATGATTGGTCTTTTCTTTGTAATTGCAAAGTGTAGCCTGCCAGTGAAAGAACTGGCTGAGGAAAAAACCTGTAATACATGAGACATTTAATCATGTAAGGGATATGGAAAACATGCTGTTTTTTACTTGTATCCATTGTAATCATTCACTTGAAAAATTGAATGTAACCCACACTGTAATTTTTATATCACTTGAAAGATTTTGCTGGGGTAAATAAGCTATAAAAGGAAAAAATAAAGTTAGTTGGAAGGAAAACATATTTGTAGAAGGAAAGTTAGAAGGAAGACATCAAGACAGACAGAAGGGAGACATCAGAAGAACAGAGTAGAACAAGCAACAGAAAGAATAATAAAATGAAGAACTAAGCTTTGGTCCTCAGAAAAGTCCTCATGTGTCTGTCTGTCCAGTGGTTCACCTGCTCTGCATCTCCTCTTCAGTTTCTCTCACCTGCTGAAGGCTTTCCATTCTTCAGCACCTTAGGTGAGATACTGGCATGTTGGAGATGTATCTGTTTGTGTTTTCCTCTTTTTGCCAGCCCCAGAAGTTAAGTTTAGCCCCCCTCACCAGCCCATGAAAGTTAAGTTTTACTCCCACAGATAGAAAAGTCAAAGGTCTGCCAATTCCATACGCTCTCCCTCCAACGCTGAGCTGCTAGAGGCTGGTCCTCACAGCAGTGATACAGAATAGCTACCATGCTGTACAGGTGTGAAAAGATGCTGTCCATCTTTAATACAAGCTCTTTCTCCATGATGGTCTGGGCACATGTGCTGTGGGATGGTCTGTATGTCAAATGTGTTGCTCTGATTGGTCAATAAATAAAACACTGATTGGCCAGTGGCCAGGCAGGAAGTATAGGTGGGACTAACAGAGAGGAGAATTGAGAGAACAGGAAGGTGGAAGGAGACACTGCCAGGTGCTGCCATGACAAGCAGCATGTGAAGATGCCGGTAAGCCACAAGCCACATGGCAAGGTATAGATTTATGGAAATGGATTAATTTAAGATGTAAGAACTAGATATCTAGAAGCCTGAGCCATTAGGCCAAGCAGTTTAAATAATATAAGCGTCTGTGTGTTTATTTTATAAGTGGGCTCCAGGACTGGTGGGACTTGGTGGGAGCTGGAGAGAAATTCTCCAGCTACACACATGTCTTAGGGTTTCTATTACTGTGAAGAGACACCATGACCACTGCAACTCTTACAAACATTTAATTGGAATGTCTTACATTTTCAGAGGTTCAGTTCATTATCATCATGGCAGGACCTGGCAGTGTCCAGGCAGACATGGTGCTAGCTACATCTTGATCAGAAAGCAACATGAAATGGTCTGAGACACTGGGCATGTCCTGAGCATATATGAGGTCTCAAAGCCCGCCTCCACAGTGACGCACTTCCTCCAACAAGGGCACACCCACTCCAATAGAGCCACACCTCCCAATAGTGTCACTCCCTTTGGGGGACATTTTCTCTCAAACCACTTCAGCACAGAAGGCCATGGTAGAGGTGAGCTGTCTTCAAGGCCATTCCAAAGTCACATCTATGCCTTCTCTCAGTTGGCTTTTGCTTCTTTGTAAGGCAGGGCTGGTGACAGCTGTCCTTGGGTGTAGTAGAACAGGTCCATAGGGTCAAGGAAATTGCCTCAAACCAGTTGCCAAGGCATGCACATAACATACTTCCTTATGAGCCGACCTGGAGTCTGCCTGAAGGCCTAGCAACAGAGCTCCTGATCGTGCCTAGTCCATGAGGGGCAACCACACGTCACCAGATTGGTACACAGCCTGGGTGCTGGAAGGGGGGTATATAAGACTTCCCCTATTACGGAATAAAGGAGCCTGATGTCTGCCTTTCACCTGACTCTCAGTGTCTGTGGTGTCTGTGTCGTTGACATGACACCTTCTCACCCCATCCCCCGAGGGAGCCTTTAGAACCCAGCAACACTTGGGGTTGAGGCAGGCTGGCCTCAGCAGCCTCACACTTCCCTTTGTACTCAGGCCAGTACTGAGGTTAGATCAGATCCCCAAAACTTATCTTTTCAGAGAGGCCAGTACTTTTTCATCAGGGAAAGCCCCACACATCTGGCCCCTGAATTCAGCACTGTGTGTGTGGTCACTCTTCAGCACAAGGAGCCAGGCTCTACCACTGAGGGAGAGCATGCAGGAGAACATGCAGACAACTTGTACAGCAAGACACGCAAGCTGACACTGCTGGCTAAAAGCCTCAGCCTATGATGATCAATGTTTCTGTCTAGGCCTGACCCTAAATTCGAACACTGTGTTCAAATTGGTTCCTCAACTACTAGCAATAGCATCTGGAGTTGCTGTGCCCCAGGCCTGGCAATGCCCACTTACCTCTTCAAAGTGGAGCACCATCTCAGGAGTCCAGCCAAAGTGACACGCATTCTTCTCCAGCTCGCTGGCACTGTCCTGTCAGACAAAAGACAGGCTTGGCTCTGATTAAAGGCCATGCATAAGGGGCTCCTTCTCCCTTCTGACTCACTGCTCCAGAATGCCATGAGACTGGGTCCTCTAGCCTGCAAGGGAGGCAGAGCCATGGGACAGGTAGCAAAATCAACACCTGCCAGGGGAGATTGAGGAGCGAGGGTATATAGCACTCTTTGGGGACACTGTCAAGCTCAGTTTCCCCAGGCTTTGCTCTGCACAGGGCCACAGGATTCACCCATCCTGAAAAGAATGTCAAGAGGCATCCCAACACAGGAATCCCACTGTCTCCTAATCACACATTATCCTACCTCCCTATGCTTACTCCATCAAGGCCATCCACCAACCTAGTCACACTAGAATCCAAATCCTACAGCACCAACACATGCAGCATCTTCTACTGTATGACAGTTTGAGACCAGCACCCCATTAAAGTGACTCTACCTTGGCATGACTATGAGTAAAACAGTTGTCAAGCCAAGTGACAAGGAGGAACTGAGGCCCTGAAGAGAAAAGGGCCTTGCCAAAGTCTGCACAAAGAACTCACAACCTGTGTCAGGAGGTCTCTGAAACTGTCCTTGTAGAGCTGTACACCTTGATAAGTGTCAAAAGCTTATCCCAAAAGATTGCTTGGGGTGTGGACTCAATCAGGCCAACACACCTTGGGACAGTTGGGGTAGACTAGGTAGTAACAGTCTGTCTGGTGAGAAGACTGTTCCTCCAATGTTCTAAGCCATCTCCTCTCACACATGAGAGAAAGACAGGTGAGCAGGACAGGGGGACTTATCCCATCATATGTCTTTGATGTTTACCCCAAGTGAGGGCTACAGTTGTTTCTCACCCCAGGTAGCTTCAGGTAAGCTTTCAGCTCCATCCCAAGCAGGAGACTGTGGAATGCTATCCTGGGCCATTTCCTGGGGAGAAGCCTGTGATAGTTCATTGACCTCTTCCTATGCTGGACAAAGCCTTCCATGCAGGACATATGGACACACTGCCACTTAGATGTCCTGCCTGCCTCCTGCTGCAACTGTCTCAGTCCACCCTGGCAGATCCCCACCCTGTGGTTCAGCATCCCTGGAGGCTCATCACTTAAAATCAGAAAGACACAGGAAAGGCATTGTCTTGTGGTTGACTGTGCCAGTCCTGCTGTGCAGAGTCCCCCACCTGACTCTTCCTTCTAGATCTTTGCTCCCTTTAGCCACACACCCCCAGTTGCCCTCTCCCTCAGCTTCTAGTCCCCATCCTCTGCTGTCTACCTCTAGTCAACTTCCTCAGGTTCCACATAAGGAGAGTAATGTAAGGTTGGGAGAATGGGTCCTCACCACAGAAGCAGGTACACTCATCATGTGTCCATTGCCAAAGGATGTTAGAAAATGCATAAATTGAATAAAATGCATCTTGGTCCCCCTTACCTGGTTTTGTGTGACTCCACTCTTCCCCCTCCACCTGGTTCTATGTGACTCCACTGTCCCCTCCTTCCAGTGGAGCCACTCTCCTCTGGGAAGTGCAGCTTCTCCTTTGGGCTGGCAAACAGCAGCATAATCTCCGTAAACACTTCACAATTCTCCTCTTCACCCTCTTCCATCCACCCCATAGATTGTGAGGAAAGGCTGTGGTCATTCTCTGGGGTTGGGCACTGGTGAGGTTTGGTTCAGATGTTTCCTGGGGGGACAAGCTCCTGTCCTTGGGATGAGTGTCTGTGGTGGTCACATCCTGAGGGCCCTCTTTGGAGCTCCTTGTAGATGGTGTATCCTGGATGGATGAGCTGCACATAGGGGTATTTTCACTCTGGGGCTCCACCTGGGAGATGTGGTTTTCAGAAAGAAAACCCAGGAGCTGTTCATGGTCATGCTGCACAGGACCACAGGACACACCCTTGGAAGCCATGTTTTTCTTCTGCAGGCTGCCGCTCAGGAGCTGCTCATGCTGCTCAGGACCACAGGACACACTCTTGAAAACCTTGATTCTCTTCTGCAGGGTGCTGCTCATGAGCTGCTCATGGTCATGCTGCACAGGACCACAGGACACACTCTTGGAAGCTGTGCTT